CCTTTTTTTGGAAATTTGCGTAACTGACAATTTCCTTTTATGGAATCCTGTATAACCTAAAATTTCAGTTTTTCGCCAGAAATAAAATTTCCTTTTTTGGTCTTGTGTAATATTGGCGACGAATAGGAGTAGGGTTACACAATTCAAATAACTTATTTATATGGTTAATCTAAACATAACGCCCACATGATTGCAGTGTTTTTTAATATATAGATAGATTATATTTTATGTTATTTTATCATTTATTATTTATTATTTATTAAATGTTATTATTATTAAATGTTATTATTACTAAATATTATTATATTATGATTAAACGTTATATTATTAAATGCCACTAGTGTATACCAAAAAGACTAAAAAAAATCTGTAATTGGAACTTGCTTTCGAGATTGATGTTCAAGCCGCTTGACTATCTTAAAGTATTTTTTAAAGATTTTCATATCCTCTATGGAGAATTTATCTATTTCCTGCTGCTCAAAAAATGTAATCCAAGTCTGTAAGGATTTGAGAGCATCATTTGGAGGCACTAGAATTTGTTCTTCTTCTTCGGAATCACTATCATTTTCATCATTTTCATTATCTTGATCTTGAATTAGTCTAACTATATCATCATCACTCAAAATTTCTTCAGTGGGAATTTCTTCCAAATTATGGAAAAAGTCATATAATTCATCTGCCAACAAAGCAGCAGCAGGATTATCCATATCAAGTTCATTAATCATTTGACCAATATCTGCTGCATCATCATCCATCATTTCTTGTTGGATTTGTATCGCATTATCTATTTCTTCATTGGTTAAAGAAGGTAGAATTCCAGTCTTTTTCCAACAGTTCTGGATTGTTTTTTCTGTCACATGATCCCACGCTTCTGCAACATAGTTTATTGCTTCTTTAATATTAATTTTCTCTTTATTGATATCCTTCCCATCTTCAAAGAGACCCAGTATATGGTGACAATATTTTCTCTTGAAATAATTCTTGAAACTTGCGATAATTTCAGCATCAAGTGGTTGGAGGTGACTTGTAGTATTTGGAGATAAGAAAGCCAGTTCAATATGAGTTAATGGTTGATATCCACTTGATCCACCACTTGATCTACTACCACAACCTTTTGATCTACCACCGCGACCTCTTGATCCACCACGACCTCTTGATCCACCTCTTGATCCACCACCACGACTTTCTGAAGCTAAAAAAATCACGTAATAAATCTGAATTTATTAAATTTAATTGACAAAGATCTTACCAGTAGTTTCAATTTCTTCATCATTAGTATCATCTTCATTTTCTCATTTTGCTCATCTTGCTCAGCTGATGAATAATTTGGATTGAAATGTGATGGAGCATTGTCAACTAAAAGCAAGATTTTTTTGTTTTTTGCTCTAAAGTAACTATCCATTTCATAAAGAACTTTTTTAAAAACCACAGAATTTATCCATGCTTTTTTATTTCCATGATAAAAGACTGGAAGACGTTCTAAATTAACCTTTGAAAGAGGTCTTGAACGTTTTGCATTTCTAATTACCCATGGTTTGAGTTTATCAGTTTCTGTTGCATTAGCACCAAGTAGAACTGTAATTTGTGTCTTATCTTTCTTTCTACTTGGAACTGGTTTGGTTGAAAGTGTTTGACTTGGTGACATTTGATAAAAAAGGCCCTATAAGATACAAAATAAAAAAGGAGATAAGGAAAAGATAAAGGAATATAAATAATAAATGGTAAGACTTACTGTTTCATCAATATTATAAATTTGGTCAAGAGTATATCAGCTTAGAAGTTGCTGTAGTTTTGTTCGTTCTTCTGGGAGAGAAGCTAATGGTGCGCTTTCTGACTCTCCATGTATATGATATCTACGAATATTATTGCGTTGTTTGAATTTATATAGCCAACCATTAGAAAATACCAACTCATTTTCCTGTAAATTAAATGCTTGAGCAAATATCTTTGCTTTTTTTTTAATTAACAATCAGTTAAATTAACACCTCCAGCTGTAACATTCTCCACCCATAAATTCATGGCTTAATCGAGTATCAGAAATTTGACCGCCTTATGTCTAAACGTCTTACTAGAATCTTCTGTATTTATGATAGCTGTCCACTTGTCACTTTGTAACAAAATTTTCGATATAGTGCTCCTGTCAATTGTTAAATTGGGATACACTTCATTAAAGTAGTTTGCAATATCTACATGACGTTTATTCTTATTGGCCTTTCCCCATTCGCAAATTTGACATTTTACTTCATCACTTATTGCCGAATGACGTTGTTTTTGTTGTCTAAAAGGTGGCATAATAAAAGAATAAAGCAAAAAACTTTTTTTGTGTTTCATGATCATCTATTGCTGCGGATTTATATGTTTTAATGTGTTACAAATTGATCATATGTCAACTCGCGTACGTTTATAGATTGATGATCATACGTGTTATATGCCAATCAAAAAACCATGTGATTAAGAGAGGTCTAATTACTAATAGAAATGATATGCACGTTTGGAATTATGCGGTAATAGTGATTATAGCCAAATTGTGCTTATAGAGGGTAATTTAATATTATTTAAAACCGTTTCTCAAAATCGGGTTCTTATATAGAGGTGTAACTGTATGGGGTGTGACTGTATGAGGGTCTGACTGTATATCTTTAACCCGATTTTTGATATTATTTGATCATTTTCATGTTCTGAAAAAATCTAAATAAATAAATAATAAATAAATAAATAAAGAATTAATAAATATTACATAATAATTTATATAATGCAATATACATATAAATAAATTAGTTACTTACCTTCACAAAAGCAAATTCAAATCTTATAATAGAATTAATACAGTCTCATATAGTGAATTAGCGTATTTTTGTATGACTTTTTAACCCTTTTCCTTTGATTTGTAAAAATTTAATTGCATTCTTTAAAAATTGGCATAAGACATAAGACATTGTAAAATACTGATGAATCACACTAATTTTTTGAATTGTATTTGCAACAAATATATGTTTACATAAATCTTTTGTGATTAGGTTAATACAATAAATCATACATCGAATATTAAGAATATGAGAATATTTTTCACAAAGAATTTTTTAAGCAATACGAATATCTGGCGCATTATCTGAAATTACTGTGGCCAATTTTTCAGAATCAATATTATCTATAATTTTAATGATTTTACTGTCAAGAAATGTGCCAGTATAATAAAGGACATCAGAATAATTTTTTGAATACCATAAATATTCTTTGCGTTTCTCAATAATTAAACAATAATCATAAATTGATTGCCCAATGGAATTTGTTCATCCATCAAAAGCAATGGTAAGATTATTTTCTTCATTAATTATTTTACTAACTTTGAGTGCAATTCTGGATATTTTCTGAATAATAAGGGTTTTTGTTAGGATTCAACAGTTTAAAAGATTATAGGTAATATGTAAAATCTTAATAAATTCAATAAAGAAAGGATGTTTAATAAGAGAAAATGGCAAATTACAATATACAAACATTTTTGCCAGTATTTTATTAATTTGATTTTCTTTGACTAGTGGAGTAGGAAAATTTTCATAATGGTCATCTATATAAGTTTGTGATCTAACTAATATTACTTGATTTTTATTTTTTACTAGATTTAGTGGTTGATGTTGTGATTGATGTTGTAGCACTATCATCCTCTGAATTTTCATTATTACTTGTTAACATCATTAAAACATTAATTTTTATTTCAAATCAATTTTATTATAATCATAAGTAAGATGTCTTTTAAGTTTTGCCACTTTAGCCGTAATCCAATAAAATTTACAAAATAAACAAGTTGTCAAGTAATATCCTTTAGAATTATCTTATTCATTTGATGTATATATTAATTTTTTTAAAAATAAAACCATTGATATTGATTAATATTTATAAATAAAAAATGTTATTTTTCATTATAGAATTTAATTTCTGATACTCCAGGTGATAATTTTATAGAAGTTATATTAAATGATATAGATATATTAAATATTGTTGAAACTTGGAAAATTCATCAAGTAAGAGGTATTTCTTATAAAGAAAATCTAGTAGTTTTTTTAATGATAAATCACATATTTGTACTTATTACAAAAGAAATAATTTGCCACCATTTTTGGAAAGTTATGTTTTATTCTAATACAGCTAAATTTCATATTAGTATTATTCCTATTTTTTTTTTAAATTTATAGTTTATTAAAATTGACACTTGGATCCATACAGTATAAGTGTACCACACCACAAAAATACAGAAAATAGGTCAACCACCTCCCTAAGTGCAATGCGAGAATGCATTAATAAACTTGGTGCAAATGCACCTTTGAACCAAAGAAAATGCAGGAAAATAAAAAACAAAAAAAAAGAGCCCCGCATATAAAACGAAAACAAAAAAACAAAAATGTAAAAATAAGGAAACAGTCAGTAACGAAGCCATCCTACTACAACCACACCCCTAAAGCTAAGACTATCTAACCATTCTTTCGAACTTATATTATGACGCTCCCAGCTTTCTAAGCATCGACCTTATTTCTGCTAAAATAGTAAGCTTGTCAATACCGCCCAAGGCCTTATCTATATTCTTGATTTCCTTGGCCACCTTTGTCTTCTTACTCGACTGTGTGTTAGTAGTATTTGTTCGAATCTTGGAGTCTCCTTCTTGATTCACCTTCTGAAGATTCCTCCTTCTTTGCTTCAAGTTAGGGGTAAAGTACCTCATCCAATCACCAGTAAATTCATCCAAGCTAAACGGCTTACCAATGACCTTTTCCAAGTCAGCCCACGATTCGTAGTAAGTGATTAACTTGCGGGTACCCTGATCTTGAATTAGTTTAAATGCTTTGCACCCAATAGGTGCAAGAATAGAGTGAGCGGTATAATGTTGCTGTGTTTACTGAAGCAGGAACTCCCTTAAGCACAGCCTGGAATCGTTCCCGCTCTTTTCTTTATTTGAGATCCCAGTTAGCCAGAAACTATCATACGGGTAATCCTCCAAGTGGAGCTGTTCATGCTCCATCATTCCATAGTCTTGTCGCCTCTTGATTGAGTTCAATCGAAACTGTAACAGTAACGTATTTCTGTTGGGATTTAAATTTAATCGCAACTACTTGACCCCGGGCTTTAAGATGATTAAGTGTATCAAGTTGAGACCAGATGGAGGAGATATCATAAACCGTAATCTCCTGAATAAGGTCTTTATTCGCAGGCTCATATCCAGTCATAACGGTACTAATTGTTTTAGGTGAAGTTGCAACAGGTTGTTTCTTGGTAGTCTTATTAGGACTTTGGCTGTTATTAGCTTTTGAAACGGGCGCAGTTTTTCTCTTTTTACCACCAGAAGGTGAAGGCAAGCTTGGTCTGCTGACATCATCTTTTGGGTCCTATTTAACCATGTCGGCATATGAAACTCGCTTTTGTTTATTTTTGGACGTAAAAGAAGTGGCGGTAGCTGAGAGGTTTTTGATTGGTACCTCTGGTTGTACTGCAACTTTTGATTGGTGTTTGGACATTTTTGGCGCTTCTAAAATTTCTATATCCATCGGTTGATCCTCTACAGATTTGGACGCGTCTGGTATTTGTTTGGATGACGTTATCTGTTATTGCACAAACTCTCTGCAAGCGCTTTCCATCCCTTTACTAACGCTTGCTTGGATAAAGTCAAAAGACTCATAAAAAAGAAAGAGTAAGTGGTATAAAGATTGTAAGTCACCAATACCAAAGGTTGAGAGGGCGTCATGATGTTTCATTAATAAGTTATTAAGGTATTCTCCATCGCCAGTAGTGTTTTCGACGGTTCAGACAATATCTTCTTCAGTTAAACCGAAGGAGCTATATTTTCTAAAGGCGTGGTTAACCGGTTCATAGTAAAGAGCTCTATTCACAGCTGTGTCAAGGTCGTCGCCTTCAGAAAAAGCTTTGGAAATGTTTGTTGTTGACGAGAAAGCCATAGTTTCAGAAAATTTTCCTTCAAAATTCCTATGGGAAAAAATGGTTCATACGATCAGCCTGTATTATTCCTATTAAATGGTACAAAGATGATATTTTAATGAAATTAAATAGTAGTATACTTGAAAATTCACCTGTTTTTATAGCAGTAGAATCATCTGATATAACAATGCTATGTACAATAGATTTCACTCTTTAAAGTTTAAAAAAGTATTTTCAAGGATCTTATAATAACAAATAAAATTATTCAACAAATTATTTCTAAAAGAAATAAATTTGGAGTAGCATTTTCAACTGCAAAAACTGCAATTAATATTGCATTAGAAACTGAATGTTATAATAAATTAGTAAAATTATTAAGAGATTTTATTTCAACTAAATAAAGAAGTTAAAATGCAATTGGTTTAAAAAATAATATGGAAGTAAAAAATATTGAACATGATGAAAATTAAAATAATATACTTCCTTTATAATAACAACTAATTGATATAACAGCAGATTCTTATGTTACTAAAATTTGGAAAGCTTCTTGTAAAAAAAGAGTAAAGAGTAGTATTGAAGTGATGGGAAGAAAAAAGGTAATGCTTGAAACTTTAAATCATGTTAATGTACAAGAAACTAATGATAGTGAAGGAACATTAAAGTCACAATGAAAATGTTTGTTATGCAAAAAACCAGAATATTATCAAAAGAAATGTTCAAATATAAGAGAGTAAAACAGTAAGTGCAAAGTTAATGTAATGATAAGATGCAGTGCATAATATATATAAGTTTATTAGATCATTTGATTATCCAATAATTGATAAAGTAATATATAAACATGAGTATCGAAACTTCTAAGACTAAATAAATTTTAGTATTTTTTTCATTAGTTTCATATTTATCTTCTGATTGATCAACATTTTAATATATTTTAACTCTTTTTCTTCTTTTTTTCCACCTATTTTTAGTATTATCTAATTTATTATTAGCAATATTAGCATTTTCTTATTCAATTATTTGTAATTTAAGATTATTAATCTCAATTTGAAAAATCATTATTTTCTTTACTGATATCCAACTATATGAATGTAATTGAGTATAGTCTTTTTGCAAAAATCATATATTTTGTCTTTAATCTTTTTTAATTCTAGTTATTTATCTTTATAAATAAGTATTTTTATTATAAAATTGGCTATAATCTAAAAAAAGTAAACTATTTAAACCATTTGATAAAATACATTAAGAGGCATATTTATTATTATCATATCTATATATTAACATTTCAAATGGATCAATAAAACTATATCTTGTTTAATTCTCTGCTCAATTCTTGTAATAATAAAGATTTCTTGTACAATGTTTGTTGTAAAAATTTCATACTCAATTCTTATAATTAAAAGTTTCAATATGTTTAAAGGGACTTTTCAAAATGTATGTATTTAAATCTTTATTTTATAAAATTTGAATAGGAGTAAAGATAGTTGAAGTATAACTATATGCTATTTTGACTACTATAATTTTTTTTTAAACGGTTTACTTTTATTAATGATTTTTCTTTATAATAACTAATATCTTATATACAGTATTTTGCTAAGGATTTATTACTTACTTTATTGGAATTAAAGAATCGTGAATCATCTAGTGTGTGGCAAAGAGCTGAGAAGGTATTTAAAGAAAAATGTGCTTTGGCTGATAGTTGAATAAGAACTAGAGTGGTTTGATAATGATTTTTTTTTCCTAGTATAAGCGGATATAATTTATTATTAAAAAAAATGTTACATTAAACTTGAGGTTTATTTATAAAATTATGTGAAGTTTGACTTCCAACAATTGTATCACCTATCACCTAATAATCATCTCCAATCCTGAATTCAATTCCTTTATATACTTTCCACCACCAGCTGTTTAATATAAATAAAAAAATTGCTTCTTGATCGCCAGTTTTTTTAATATCATCATATTCTTGTTCGAAATCAACAATTTCTTTTTTCCAAGGTTTACCAGACATAACATAATGTACATTTCTGACTGCTTTGTCTTCCCATGTGGAGGCGTGACAAGTTCTTAATACCCTTATAGCGTTATAAATATATGGTAATGGTACCCATTTTCCTTTAAAATATTTATTTAAAACATCTTGGTCTGGAAAACAAAGAGAATCAACATCAGGATGGTTATAAAGAAAATTCGATAAATCTTCAAATATTTGCTTTGATGGTGTTAAAACTAATAATCCGCTATTAAAATATCCTTTTAATTAAATAGGTGGTAGTGTATCTTCAGATTCTGGTTTAATTGGACCTAAAGTATATGAACAGCAAGATGGTATCCTAGTATATATAATAAATTTATATATGTAAATAAATTTTATCGGAAAATAAAATATACACATACACATACATACCAATCTTTTGGATAATTTTGTTTTTTTCTTGAATTACACGTACAAGCATTAACAGCACCCAAAAAATCCTTAGGTAAATTCATATTCATTAAATGATCAATATTTTTCATTACCAATATATCTGCATCCAAAAATACTACTCTATCATATCCTTCTATATCCCAAACTCTTAATTTTGTCCAACAATCTTGATAATGGTCCCAAATATATTCTTTAAGTTTATTAGTTGGATGAATTCTCTCTATTGCTTTTAGTTCACATCCTTCATTTTTGATTGATTCTAAATCTTCTGCTGTTAATGAAGTTTTTTCTTTGGGTTAATCTGTTGAAATATTAATAGATGTGTCTGGATGAAGAACTATTAAAAGATAAATGGTTTGCACGCATTTTAGGGAATGTGCTAAACACTGTAATCCTTTTAAATACGAATTTTCTGTTACTAAAGTTACCCAAGCTTTCTTTTCCGCCATATTTTTATTAATAGAAGAGAAAAAAATTTTTTTTACTAAAAAAAAAATCAATTCCTCATTTATACAGGTATTGATGCATTGTACCACAACATAAATAGCGATTATCTCATAAAAAATCAGTTAAACCCGCCGCAAAATAATTATACAATGCAACTAAATGCGCAAAGTTGTGGCTCTTCTTATTGGGCAAAGGTAGGTTAAGTGTCTTATGGTTTCAAACTGATAGTTATTATTACTACTAAAATTTAAATTATTATGGTTTATTAGAAACTATGTAATACAATTTTATCTCAAGGTTCGAGGAGTGGGAAAAAGGTGCAAATAAACTAGATCGCTTATTTATTAGTCTGGAGTATAGCGAAGGACTCTATATGTTCTAGCCGTAGTGATACAAAATATCCCGTTGTCCGTCCACTTGTTCTTTGAGTTGACGTTTAATTGGTTCTTATATTACACGAAATTATCTCGATCGGTTAATTGAATATGTGATTATCTACCTATATACTGATAAGCTCTGGACTACGTAACGGTTTACCGTTTCCCTAGTATTATGTTTTGTAAGGCAAGGATGAATGGAAATTGACATAAAATCACCAGATTACGACCATACAAAGTGTCCAGGATTTCATGGTACAATGACCCAAAAAAGTATGGTGCGATTTAGATAAAAGTATGATTTGATATAATTTTAATTCTGGCCAGATTTAGTGTAATTTTGGCCGGAGTTAATAATATTTTAATATCGCATATGATCAGTGTGGCTTTAAAAAAAAATGATCGATGGCAATAATTAAGAGATCTGCATGCTGCATTTCATAGAAAACTGTAGGCATTTTATAATTTTTTTGCATGTATTATTTTTCTTTATTGTAATAAATTACATGTATTACAGAAACAAGTAATTGCGCAAAATAATTTCTTTTATCGTTAAATTAAGGAGAAGATTTTCGTGATGAGATCATTTTCCCAAAAGCATATTCAATAATCAAGCGAAAAAATCAAACGAAAATTCTAATAAAATTTAAACCTGATCATTGATATATATTTACATCTGTATATTTCACAAAGTAATAATAAGGTAGGTTGGTTAATAGTTCAGATTAGCTTCTTGAAACATGTCATCATGATGTTAATCGATTTTCTCATCTCTTTTATATGTCCCAAAATAAAATAGATATATTACTCCTCTTGTTATATATCGATGTCCCTCCCTCTTTGATAGCATCATATGTTTTTCTCTTTATCTTGTAACTCACTTCTGAGATTTTTAAAAAAATCAATAAAGTTGATTTTCACGACGTGACCGCAAGGAATTACGAAGAATTACATGAGAGAAAAGACAAATTTTAATCTAAACTTTTATTGATGATTTATTATTCCGTATGAAATTAATCATACAAAAACTGATTTTCACAAATATTGTACCGATAAGTGTAATAAACTAACTAAAATCGTTTATAAATTACCCTTAATTTCTTTATAGATAGAAATATCATTTATATTTAAGAAAAAATTAGATTTAAAAAATTTATTTGACTATATTAACGTAATATATTGAAACCTTTTTTGCAGTTTGTCTTCTGCCCTTCTGAAACTTCTTGAAAGACTTGAGAAACAAAAAAAGGTTTACTTCTCATTATGGGAATGTTAGTAAATTTATATTTTTTCGTAATTGACCAAAAAGAATGTAACCACCAAAAATAGAAATCAAAAATTGAGTATCATCTCAAGAGTCAGAAGGTATATTTTTAATAATGAACGAATTTATAAAGGCAATATAAAGTACATTAATGATTGTTGTTTATTTAAATTTCGATAATTTATCACTTTTTGAATTTTTTTTTTCATAAATAAATAATAAATGTGGTTTAGGAAAATTTATTGGATCGAGTTATTTTTTGTTGATAAAAGTATAATTATTTTTTTAATGTCTTCATATTCTAATTCTACTACCTATTCCTCCTTTTCTATACTACATCTCAGATTCTTTTCCATTAAATGGAATTTTAACGCGTCTACAAAATTCTTGTACTAAATATTGTAATTGACTAGAGTAATCTTTTTTGACCACTTCAAGTGCTAGATTTCCAACTTTTTGACCTATGAAATCAGAAATTCTTGATCTACAAAACTATCACCACAGAAATTTCCTTTATGTATTTTATGTACAGTTATTTATCATCATCTATCGTTAAATCTACTGTGCTACTGCCACAATAATTGAAAAAATATAGTCACGTGATAGACGTATTATCTACAAACATTACTTACGCATCCGTTATGAATTTCAATTTATTACTTTATTGTATTTATAAGCAAAGCACATTCGCGCATAATTTTAACCAAATCAGTTGGAATTAATATATAAATATATAATAGGATTACAGAAATGCCTTATTCTTTATTTACATTAAAAAATTATAGAGATTGATAAATAAAATTTACCATCATAATCTGGCCAATGAGTTTTCAACGTATCTCTAATAAGTTTTGCTCATTTCTTCAAGATATTGAGATATAGCAACTTTATAACTTAAACCATCTGGTAAAGGAGGTTATCCTCCATTTTACTTAAATGAAATTTAAAATTTTCCACAGATTTTGTTCAAACAGATTGTTTTTCCTACTAGATTTTTCCACCAATGTAGGTAATTCACAAGATAAAAGTACAAGATTTCATTATACTTTAGAACTGTTGAAATTTTATAATAACCTGAATATTGTTTCCAATCATTATGTGCATAAAAAATTACAAACACTTTAAAATTTGTAGATAAAATTAATAACTTACAGAATAAGTTGTCCCAAAATCTATTAAGTTTTTTTAAATAAGATTATTATCTAAGTATCATCATTATTATAAAATTAATAATAAAATAAAAAAACAAAAAAAACCTATAACAACGATCACACAAATATTTTCTTTTGCGACTCTATAAATCTGATAAATTCTTTAAAAATTCTTTGAAAAAACCATCATAATTTAAAAACAAAGAATTTTATTATTGAGAAACGAAAAATTAGCTCACATTTCATAATGTCACACCAAATTGCATCATGATCCATTTATATATTACTTGATCTAAATACATATAAAAGTGTTATCATTCTGACGTAAGCTATAAACCTTTATATAGTCACCTAATCGGTTCTGCAAAAATTGGTGACTATATAGAGGCTTTTACTATGATGTGATTATACAAAGGTTTTTTTATATACTGATTATATTATTTGTACTTCCCAAAGGTGTGATTATATAGTGATCCGAATGTGATAAATATTATATCAAAACCATATCTTTTTTACTTTACAAACTATTTTACAATGAAAAATCTTAGCCTTACATGTGAACATTAATAAATGATTTTAAATTTATATCTCATAATGGAGAAGGTAGTACATCTTCTGTTATTCGTAAAACAGCTTGTTTTTTTTTAAAAAAAAATAATTAATTAAAAAGCAATATAAAAATATAGTAAAATAATAAAATAATAAAAATAAAAAATCCAATAAAATTGTTATCGTTCTGACATTTTTGATCATAAGCTATTTGAAACTTTGTGATAAATATTATATTTTGAATGAGTACATATAAAGGGCATTGATTAAGGAATGAAAATCGGAAGTCAATGCGATGATAATCAGAATTAACTTTTGCTGATTTGACTGATCATTTGATTGCTTAATTAAATACTTAGCTGGCATATTTATTTATTTATTGGGTATCCTTATAAAATCATGTTATTTAATTTTCGCTTAATATTGTTAACGCATTGTGTCATTTACCAAATATTATTTAGCTTAATACCGACTGAAAATGCTACTATAGCTTAAATAAACTTTTAAAACGTGATCTTTGATGGTCTGTCACAATAAAATCATTATTAGGTAAATATTCAATATTATGATTTTAACCATCATTATATGATTGGTCATTGTGCTGCGTATACTTCTTATCCAATAACTATATAATATCTGCAAAAGCAAAAGCATACGCAACTAAGAAAGATATTATTGTTTTTATATACTGTATTGCAAAATATGTTCTTGTAATACAAATAATGGAGGTTGGGTACTCCTTATTTCCTTTTTTCAGTTTAATAAAATAATTCAAATCCAAAGAAAATAAAAATTTAAAAAATTTTATGAACATTAACCAATTTGTACCTGCAGAATGCAAAGGTACATCAGTTTTTTCATTATAAGAGTCACTTTCTTTTTTTCCTAAAAAGACTTATCATGTAATTTTGAATTATTTGATTATAACACTTATGCAGCAGTATAATAAAATGCAATACAATAACAAATCCATATTCTTTGCAAGGCTACTTACAATGAAAAATTTTAGCCTTGTATGTAAACATTAATAAATGAAAAATGGTTATAAATTTGTATCATATACAGAGAAGGTAATAAAACTCCTCTGTTATTCATAAAAATAGCTTATTTTTAATACAAAAATAAGTAATTGTTATAATTTATTTTTTAAAAAGAAGAAAAAATTAATTAAAAAATAATAAAAATATATATAATAGAATAATAAAATAATAAAAAATAAAAAATTTATACTTCCTAAGTTCTAATGGATTTTATTTCTATAGATATCAACAATAAAGATAATATTTACAATGTAATTAATAAAATTGAAATTAAAACTGATATCAATAACGAAAAAGATATCAATAATGAAAAAGATGTTAATATCAATAAACCATGTATCAATAAACCTATTATAGAAATATCGCCAAATGAAACATATCTTGTTACTTATAATCCAAAAGATTATTCAATCGTCGGTTGAATTGCTAAAGATAAAGAAAAGGAACAATTTACTGAAGATATAACTATCAAAATAAAAATACCAGATAATTGTTATATAGACTACATATGTATTTTTGATGATAAGAAACTTGTATGTATGGTTCACGAGGTAACAGATGTTATCCAAGTAAGTATTATTTATTTATTAGATTATATATATTATATATTTTATTTAATACAAAATCAATTATTAGATGAATCAACTCTGCAAAACAACATGGAATAATGGAGTCTAGATAGCATCATTAGGAAACATTCCTGTAAGGCCACCTGGTCTCTTCATAAAAGGAAAGAAAAAGAGAGATTTCAAGCAGCTCTCTATGACATTCCAGACTCAATGACAGCTGCTACATTATTTCACCAAAATCAAACCCATCTGACTTTATCAGCGATTAACAGTTTTAAAGCCTTTAAAGTTATTACAACAGAAGAAAAGAAACGCAAACTTGTAATTTATTTGGAAAAATGGGAAGATCTAAACAATCTTGTAGGTAAAACATATGAAATTGATGGCAAAACTTTAGATTGGTGCCACCACACTTTCCCACATAGGGATTGGAATCAATTCAATTGAAAATCGAATCTTGAGAATCAATTAAAGATTCGATTAATTGAATTTAAGATTCGATTTGACGATTTGATTTTCAATTTTGATTAATCAAATCTAAACCGAATCCCATTTGCGTCAGAGTCACGTGGAGTTACACAATTTCCAAAAAAGGAAATTTTGGCTCCCGGAAATTTCAGAAAATCATGAAATTTTGGTTACATGGATTTCCAAAAATGGAAATTTTATGATGATCATTTAATTCTGGCCAGAATTAATGAATTAAGATTTTAATGGAATAAATAGATAGTAATAGTGATATTTATATAGTATATATGTTTGATCATCATTTTTCAGCAATTTTGATAATTCCGATATTATTTTTTTTACCGTAACGTAATTTTAGAAACGACATGATTACTTTTATTGCGTCATAATATAAAAAAATTGATTTATTGAGATTCGATTTTTAGATTCGATTAATCGATTCTACAGATACGATTCGATTTTTGATTAATTCGATTTTGGTAGAATCGATTCCAATTCCTATTCCCATGCTTCACCAAGAAACTCAAGGCTGCATCAAGTATAAAAGATAAAACCAAGGTTTCTACCAACTTTTAGAAGAAGAATTCCAACCTCAAGGATAAAGCCACAGATACCAATAGGATTCTCCTGAATACTCAACTGCAGGATAATCGAGAAAAGAAGAAAGATAACTCAAAAGGCACTTCAAACCAGAACCGTAAATCTGAAGATAAAACAAGATCCCACCTACTATTAAGATATGTTACTGGTAGAAATTTTACTTTTATATGAAACCTTACCTTAACATTTACTTAAATTCTATTGGTTAATTAACTAAAAAGGAAAAAAATCCTAACAATGTGATATAAAATTTATTTTTATAGTAGGATTTTCAAAGAGTTTTATATGTAAACATTACCTTAGGCCACAGGGTGATCTATCTTAATAGTAGATGGGGTCCTGATAAAACTGACAAGGCTAAGAAGAGCCCTAGGATTTTCAAGAGAAATCTTTACAATGAAGTAATGGAATTAAAGGAGATGCTAAAGAAGCTGATAGACAGGATCTGAAATGGACGACCTACTTTCGGTCTATATATGAGGAGTTAGTTTCTTATCTTTTGCGAAGGATATAGTTTTAATTTTTATTTTTTAGATAGAAATTTTTATTTCTTTCAGAATTTTTAATTACTCTGATTAGTTAGTGTATGGATTTAGAATAGAGTTTTTCTACTTTTACTGCTAACTACTGATTCCTTTTTTTTAGCATGGTGTGTTAATTCATGGGATATATCTGTATGCAAGTAGACAACTTTTTCGATCGTTTAGGGTATTTTAGAGACCTAGTCTCCCCTTTGTATTGATATGTAGTGATTCCTTTGAGTATAATAAAAAAAAAAAATTAATTATTGTCAAACTTAAAAATAATTGATATTTGTCTTGATCAGGAAATTGAACTTGATTTAATCACAGGTAGTTTTAATGAATCATGTCATACTTTTAATCAGAAAGAGAAATATATTTTATATTGTAAATAGGACGTATATAGTATTCTTAATCATAGATTGCATAAAATCATTTGAATATTTTTTACAAAAATCAAAAATAAAAAATGGATATGTAAAAGAAATTACAAGATACTTGAATATTTTGAATTGATAAATAAAAATAGCGTTTTCACAACGTTATTTTCAATAATTTGAAGTAAAAATGTTGCAAAACATTTGTTTAATTAAAAAATAATATTTCACAACATTTTTTTTAATACTTTAATGTAAAAATATTATGCAAACATTATTTTTATATTAATTTAATTAAAAATAGCATTTTCATAACATTATTTTTAATAATTTAAAGTAAAAACATTGCGAAATATTTGTTTAATTAAAAAATAACGTTTTACAATTTTTTTTTAATACTTTAATGTAAAAATATTGCGCAAACATTATTTTACATTAATTTAATTAAAAATAGCGTTTTTGCAATGTTATTTTTAATAATTTAAAGTAAAAATATTGCGAAATGTTTTTACTTTAATTTAAAAATAAATTTAAAGAAAAAATGCGTTTTTTATGATAAAGCTCAAGCCAGCTCGAGCCTAGCTCAGCTCAAGTTAGGATTTTTATGGTTCAGCTTGGTTTGAATTGAGCTGAGCCAAGATTTTTTGTTGCTCAACTCATTTCAGGCTTGACTTAATGTAGATCTTCAAGTTGAGCCAAGTCAAACTATAGCTCAGCTCTGTAGAGTACTAATTTTAGATAGTTTTATAGTTTAATTTATTAATACGTGATTAGCATATGACTTAACATATAATTTATAATAATACAAATATTATAGAACATTGTAAAATATTGTAAAATATTGTAGAGCATTAGTGTTGCCTGCCGTAAATAGTTGTAAGTCTAAAAATCAAGTAATTATAATGGTTGTAAATCAGAATTATCATCTTTTAGTTAACCACAATAGCATAGTATTACAACCAAATTACAACTTATGTTTATAATATTACAACCCGCTTAGGTTGTAATTTGAAATATAATAATCAATACTTACGGCACGCAACCTTATAGAGCATTGTAAAATAATTTATAGTATCACAATAGTTTAGTGTTATGATAGTTTAGTGAAACATTAAAAATATATAAAAAGGCTGGGTTTTGACTTTTATTAGAACTTTTTTCACTATTAATAAAAGTAATATTAAAAGTTATTTTGAGTATAGTATATGCTCATAGTATACCTAAGATTTAATTAATATTAAATACAGTCAACCCTTGTTATAATGAACCTTAGGATCTAGACCTCAACTTCGCTATAAGATTATAGTAAAGATTTTAAGAGATTTGATTGGTTAATTCATTATAGTGTGAGGAAATTTATTATAGTTGTTTGAAAAATTCACTATATCAAGGATTCACTATATCAAGGTTTAACTGTAATAAAGATAAGGTATAGGAAATTATTTCAGTTTAATTATTTGATATAAAGTTTATTTAATATAAAGGAAATTATTGAAGTTTGAAAGTTAAATTTAAAGTTATAAAAGAAATAAAGAAATATCAAATTTAAACCAAGTATAATATTAAATTGAGTATTAGTTTTATCTGCTAATATGTGGCAGGTATGGTAATATCGGTAAGTGTTTTAAAAAGAAGAATAGGTTTTTTTATTTTTTTTTATTTAAAAACATTTATTAATGTTCTTTTACTTCTTTTTTTTTGTAAATTTCAGCCTAGAACTTGAAAATGGAGACTAGTAGGTATTTTTGAAGGGGAAGTAGGGGGGTTTTTTTTTGGTTTTTTTTATACAAAAACATTTATTAACATTCTTTTACTTCTTTTTTTTGTAGATTCTGACCTGGAACTTAGAAATGGAAATTAGTAAGTATTTTTAGAGAAGAGATAGGATTTTTTTGTTTTTTTATGTAAAACATTTATTAACATTCTTTTACTTCTTTTTTTTTGTAAATTTTTGGCCTGAAATTTAGAAATAAAGACTGGTAGATATTTCTAGAAGGGAAGTGGAGGTTTTTTGTATTTTTTTATGTAAAAACTTTTATTAATGATCTTTCACTACTTTTTTTTGTAGATTTTGACCTAAAACTTTGATTAATAGTATTAAGTTTGTCATTATTATCTGTGTTTAATTTAGTTTTTGGTGCAATTGTACCATTTCAGAAATTATAGTTTTATTATTTCTAATAAATAATAAATAAATAAATTTATTAAAAAATTTTTTTTGATTAAATTTATATTTATAAAAGCAGTGTATTTTTTATTAAATTATCATTTAAAGACATTAGAAAAAAATTTAATTATTAGTCAATTAGAATTGCAGAATTGCGGGTTACTAACTGCAATTTAACTCTAAAATCTGTAATATTGCAGATTTTGGAAATTATTTGTAAATCCATCCTTATCTATTAATAACCTTATTCTGTATAATTGGGTACTCTGCAAAAATAAATAATAGCCTAGTAAATGGTTTTTGTTTTAACAACTTTTGACTTATGTAAAATTTAAAACTATGATAAGTGAAATAAAATATATCAGAATTTTTGGAAAAGTATGTTAAAAACATTAACTGTTAAAATTACTATTAATATACAATATGTATTTATCTTTTATTTTATTATTTTAGTTAATTTTATTAACTTAAATATTAACTGATTCTTATTTAATATAATTTGTGACTTAAGACTTGAGAGCTATAAACAGAACCATATTCATTAACCTTATATATACAATAATTACAAGATTTATGTATTATATTCTATTATTACTACTAAGGTCAATGTATTCATATTTTTTTTTTTTTAATAAATTTTAAGAATATTATAAATAATTATTGTAATTGGTAAACTAATAAATTTTTGTAGTCTAAAATCAATTATCCACTTAAATTCATTATTAAAGTAAAATAATAAAGTTCAATTACCAAAAATCTTGTGCTAATGCCATTAGTAAAAATACTTTTAGTACTAATCAAATCCATAGTATGGTAATACAATCAACCCCCTTTGTAGTCACACTTCTTTGGATTAAAAAAAGAATATAATTATAAAAAAAGTTATATGTTGTGATTATAGAGAAGGTTTTTATAATATATTTAATAGTACATTGGAACCAAAATTAGTATACTTATAAAGGGAAATTTTATATAATATGATTATACAAGGGATAACTATATAGGAAAATTAACTGTACCAGGTACTTTTATCATTAAATTGATTAAAATCTGTTTTAAAAAGATTAAGTTCATTACTTTTATCACTAGTATTACTAATGGATGTAATAATTATTGGCATATTTTTAAAAATATAAATTTTGTTCTCACATAAATGGCTTAATCAATCCAGTATTTGGATGTTTGTGCTTTAAAATATTCTTTAAAATACTCTGATAATAATGAAATTGGCAGTTTTTGGAGAAAACCATTCTACTAATTAAGCACCTGGCAAGTAGTCTTCATTCCAAGAGTCTGTTGAGTCTGTTACTGTTTCAGTTACATAAGTAAGAAGCTAGTATTTAAGTGTCTGAGTTAATAAAAATTCCTTTGAGATGGATAATATCCAGTTGAAAAACTTCTCACAACTAAAACCAAACTTTTGTGCTTGGTTTACAAGCTCAGTAATCTCTTTTAAATGCAATATATTGTGCTAGAAACTTCTGTTTCATCTATATGAAATTTTAAATTTTTCAGCTAAAAATGAAATTATCTGTTATAGCAAAATTATCAGTAACAGCTCCTGTATAATAATAGTTCTTGTATCAAATTCAATAACAGATCCTGTGTCAAGTTCAGTAATGGATTCTGTATCAAAGTTGAAATTATTGGTAATGGTTTCTGTAAACAAAGAGTCTAAATTCAAAGCAATAAGCATGATATGAAAGTAAAGGATACAAAGTGCTATATTTTTTTTTTAAATGCCTATTACTTCATCTTATTTTGTGTTTTAGGATAAAATGTAAAACACTAACTCTATTTGTGGCCTTGCTTGGTGTATCACGAGAATACGAACTGTCCTCAAACAATTGAGGACAATAGCTTTTTTTATTTGTTCTGCGTATTTATATCAACTATTAAGTTACTACAAGACATCTAGGCGAAGTAAAATAGCAGTATAAATACTTTGTACCAATTTATCCACACACTTGATAATTCTCTTTTCCCTAAAAATCCACACCATAATCGTATTTCTGTTAATTCGAATAGGAATAGTGCGGCGTTTATAAAACCTGTACAACGTGTCTTTACTAATACTATATAGTTCCAACCATTTTCTGTATTGCTTTACTTCACTAGTAACGCAAATCACAGGGATTATTCGCGATCTTTTTTAGTAACCTTGATTTTAGTTGCTCAAAAATTTTTCTTTCATCGACTCATCACGAAAGTCATCGTACGAAGTTGTAGGAAGTGTTAGTAACTTAGTATTTTTTTTACTCGATTTCCATAATAACAAGTTGTTGTATATCGAATTTAAATATTAATAAAATATTTTTAATATTTGTTGTAGTAAAATCTCAAAAAAAAAGGTAAAAAAAATTTTAAAATTAATACCTACAAAAAGAAAACTATTCAAGAATCTTTGCAAATCATGAATCCTGTGAGCTACAGTACCCCGGGTATCTTGCATATTTTGGAGGGTTGACCCTGTACCCCTCATTATACAAATTTTACTATTAATAAAGGGCGTTTAAAACTTATAAAATAACTAGGGTATTGTTACACATAACACACCACAAAGATATTTAAATCAACGACTTCTTTTTTTTTGGGTGGGATACTATGGCCCGTGTTATATGGTACTTCAATATTTATTAAAAAGTTTCACCAATTTCACCAATCTAAACGTGAATAAAATATTTATGAAAGTGAAAAAATATTCTTAAGCTAAATCTACTCTAAATTTTTAGTTTAAATCAAACAAAAAAATATGTTGCCATCATAAACGTTTAAATAATAGTATACATCAATAGTAAAATGAAAATCAGCAGAATATAATTATATTACTCTTTTGCAGATGTAGATAAAAGAGGTTGAATCTTTGGTAGCTTCGAACGATTTCGTTTAATATGATCATCAGATTGACTTGAATTTTCGGAATCATCCGGTCCAGAATTATGGGAATCAAGCCCACGACCCCGAAGTCGAAAAACAATTTCATCTAATGTCAATTCAATTTGACAATGGTTTTTAATAATAGAAATTTCTGATAGGAAGTTAAGGATAAAACTGGTATTTATACCATTAAATTATATTAAACAATTTTCTTTAAATAAAAAAGGATACTTGGCCAAGTGGCCCTTTCACCCTTTAATGTAGCTTCTCTTATAGTTTCCGGAGTGGGATTGGAAAGAATCTTTAAGAAATCGGAGTGTGAAATATTGGGAACTATAGTAATATCTCCATAATAACGTTGTGACATAATAGATTGAACTTTATAAATTAGATTCTGCGCCACACCAAGTTCGCTCAACTATTAAAAACATTATATTAGTTGCAAAATTTACACTACATGAAGTAATATAGTAAATAGAGTTAACAGACACCTGATTCATTCTATGTTGTAATTCAGATATTGCTAAAAATAAAAGCCATCTTGCTAATCGGCTAACTGGAGATGGGATTAGGTTTTCTTGTAAAAATGGCACCACATGTGGATTCACTACAAAAAAGAAAAAATATTTATTATATCAACATCAATTGAAACCTTCCATATAAATCGAGAATCGATTTTACCTTGACACACAATAAAATGGTTTACGTTAAAAAGTTCGGAAAGTTTGTTCATTGGTAAATCACTAATAATAAAAATCATTAATTAATGAAATTGAAGATAAAATGATGAATGATGGACATACTTTTCTACTGATCCATCAATCCAGCGATGTCCTGTTCAAATAATTGATTTTATTAATTACGAACTTAATTAAAGCATACATGTATAATAAGAAAAAATATTTACCAGAAGGATTCCAAAGAAATTCTTTTCCGGATTTATCTTTTGCCATCAATGGAGCCGAGCTATAAACTAACGGAACGGAACATGATGCTGCACTAAAATAAACATATCGTGAATTTGCTTGATTACCTTTAAAAAGATAAAAATAAATACATGTATTATGGGTGCACTACACTTACACGGCTGACCAAATTAACTAATAAATTTAATTAAAATAAATTTAGCATAAAAAAAATGTGATTATATTAAAAATATTAATATCGTGCCATAAATTATGATACATACCACATTTGGAGCTGTCAAATAATTAAGAAGTCGTGGCATTTCATAAACTGTAGAAGAACTGACAGTTATATTTAAAATCCTTCGAGTGCGGTTATAAGCTTCCTAGTCGAGAGATTTAATATTCATTTTATTTTCAATTGTATTTGATGCAAAAATGAAAATATTGGCCCCCACCTGAAATGTCATATCAGGAATGTTACGACGCATGCATTCTCTTAAAATTTCTATGTCAAATAATACACCTAATAAAAAACATATTTAGTTTGAATGCTGAAATGTAATCGTTTAATTGAGAATGACTTATTACCTTGTTTAAGAACCCTTCGTAACCTTGCCAACCAAGTGTCCGGCTCTGCTGACTTTTCGAATACATCCTGAAATTTGTTTTATTGGGGAACACACTTAAAATAATTATTTTATTTTAATAAGAGCTAAAAAAAAATTTTCGTACCAAATTGAATTCATCAGAATCTAAAGCTCTTAATGTCATTGGTATCTCTTCATCTGTCTTTGTGCACAAAAGTGCAGCAATAATTGATCCGCTCGATGCTCCAGATATGATACGAGGTAAGAGTTTACACTCATGAAGACATTTAATTACTCCAAAATGAACAAGACCTGTCGATCGATTTGAAAAAGTGTTAGTTATCAAATAATGAAGTTAACATGATAAAATTTCATAGGTACCGAATGTAGCTCCTCCACTTAATAAAAGAGCTGTTCTTCCAAAAGATTGTCTTGTATTAGTGAAAAATTCTAATTTATCTTTGGTAGATATCTCTTCAGACTCTGTATCACAAATGATATTCATTTGTTTTACTACTTCATTAATATAAGTTTCGATCAATTTCTTAGTTCCGATATGGGTATATGCATATAACTAAAATCCATTGGAAAAGTCTAAGGGTTATTATACACAAATAATTAAGCAGTTAAAAAGCAATTTATACAATTTATACCTTTGGTTGACCCATGTCACCAAGATTTCTTGCTAGTGAAGTCCTTAATAAAAATATCATTTGTGATAAATCACCAGTATTACGGGCACTTTTTAATTGAGACCAACGTTTGTATAATAGTTCATGGTCGTAATCTGGTGATTTTATGTCATTTTTCCATTCATCCTTGCCTTACAAAACATAATAAAAATGAGCAATATTTTACATATTAACTTATTGAAAAGTTTGTTGGATAGAATACCTTCTAACTGATCTAGTTTATTTGCAGCTTCTGCCCACTCCTCATAATTATTTGCATTCTTTAAAAGGTGCTCAAAACGCGAGTTCGAACCTCGAGATAAAATTGTACTACATAGTTTCTAATAAACCATGATAATAATTTAGATTTTTAGTAGTAATAATAATTATCAGTTTGAAACCATAAGACATTTAACCTACCTTTGCCCAATAAGAAGAGACATCAAAAGCCACAGACTTAGCGCCTGAAATCAAGGAAGAAAATGTAGAAGCACGCGTGTTTTCTTGGTCGTTGTTGCCATTTTCGTAATCTTGAGATGATTCCGTAGGCACATAATCTTCGATAGTCTCTTCAGTCTCATTGAGTTGTGTTGTATAATTATTTTGCGGCACCATTGGCAAGATTTTAACTAATTTTTTATCAGTTCTAATGAGATAACTGATAATCGCTATTTATGTTTGTGATACAATGCATCAATACTTGTATAAATGAGGAATTGATTTTTTTTTCTACGATAGTAAAAAAAAATTTTTTCTTCTACTTAATAAAAAATATGGCGGAAAAGAAAGCTTGGGTAACTTTAGTAACAGAAAATTCGTATTTAAAAGGATTACAGTGTTTAGCACGTTCCCTGAAACGCGTGCAAACCGTTTATCCTTTGATAGTTCTTCATCCAGACACATCTATTAATATTTCAACGGGTCAACCCAAAGAAAAAACTTCATTAACAGCAGAAGATTTAGAATCAATCAAAAATGAAGGATGTGAACTAAAAGCAATAGAGAGAATTTATCCAACCAGTGAACCTAAAGAATATGTTTGGGACCATTTTCAAGATTCTTGGACAAAATTAAGAGTTTGGGATATTGAAGGATATGATAGAGTAGTATTTTTGGATGCAGATATGTTGGTAATGAAAAATATTGATCATTTAATGAATATGAATTTACCCAAGGATTTTTTGGGTGCTGTTAATGCTTGTACGTGTAATCCAAGAAAAAAACAAAATTATCCAAAAGATTGGTATGTATGTGTATATTTTATATTCCGATAAATTTATTTACATATATAAATTTATTATATATACTAGGATACCATCTAGCTGTTCATATACTTTAGGTCCAATTAAACCAGAATCTGAAGATACACCACCACCTGTTGAATTAAAAGGATATTTTAATAGCGGATTATTAGTTTTAACACCATCAAAGCAAATATTTGAAGATTTATCGAATTTTCATTATAACCATCCTGATGTTAATTCTCTTAGTTTTCCAGACCAAGATGTTTTAAATGAATGTTTTAAAGGAAAATGGGTACCATTATCATATACTTATAACGCTTTAAAGACATTAAGAACTTGTCACCCCTCCATATGGGAAGACAAAGCAGTCAGAAATGTACATTATATTATGTCTGATAAACCTTGGAAAAAAGAAATTGTTGATTTCGAACAAGAATATGATGATGTTAAAAAAACCGGCGATCAAGAGGCAATTTCTTTATTTATATTAAACAGCTGGTGGTGGAAAGTATATAAAGGAATTGAATTCAGGATTGGAGATGATTAATTAGGTGATAGGTGATACAATGACAATAGGTTTCTCCTCTCAAAATTGTCGGAAGTCAAACTTCACATAATTTTATAAATAAACCTCAAGTTTAATGTAATATTTTTTTTTTAATAATAAATTACATCCGCTTATACTAGGAGAAAAAAAAATCATTATCATCAAACCACTCTAATTCTTATTCAACTATCAGCCAAAGCACATTTTTCTTTAAATATCTTCTCAGCTCTTTGCCATACATTAGATGATTCACGATTCTTTAATTCCAATAAAGTAGGTAATAAATCCTTAGCAAAATAGTCACTCGCTTCTCTTGGTAATAAAGTTGGTAAATGATCAATTGAAATTACTTCAATAGGATGGGGATTACTGAGTATATATGAACAAAAAACAATATTAATTAAAATTATTAAAGTTATATTTTTATACAACAATTAATTGTTAACTTACGCTGTTTCAATAGATACAGTTGGCTTGTCGAAAGTTGTGTTGACATTATATACAGGAATAGGATTATTAGGATTTGTAGTATCACAACTAACATCTACGATAATTGAGAGTTGTCTTCCTTCATCAAGCATTTCTTTAGTAAGAAATGGTGGTATTTTTTGATTTAAATAAATGCAATTAACAAAAATATCACATTCAAGAATTTCTTTAAACGGTCCTCCTTTCTTAGTTTCTTCAATATCCCATTTAATGATATTTTCCCTAGGAATAAAAAAAAAAAAACTTTAAAATTTGGTAATATTTATAAATAATGTTTTAAGACTTACTCTGTAATACCCGCTTTACGAGCACAATCAACAGCCCCGCTACCACATCTACCTAATGCTCCCATAACCATAATACGTGGCTGTCTTCCATGAACAGCAACTATAAAATAAAATAAAATAATTAGACATCTGACTTTCTTATGAACATTCTAGGAGATTAAAACATTAATACCTGCACCATCTAAACGGTTTTGGATATATTTAATCAATACATTTTCATCAGGATAAGGTTCGACCTTAGAAAATTCTTGCGTAGGATGTAATTGTTGATTCGTCCAAACATCAAGGCCAAGAGCTGTTCCGGCAAATCCTGCATGATAGCCAAATGCTGCAATACGACGACCTTTTTCATCTACTAAAAATTCTAAATCAAGTATAGTTCCATTTCCTTTAATGAATCTTTTCAAGATATCTTTCCATCCTCCTTGATTTTTATAGCAGTGAGCGAAAAAAATATGTTGATGCGAAAGCGGTGAATCATCATTTTCCGGTAATTCTTTAAGTCCAATAATATATGCGTCAGCTGGTGCATTTTTCCAAGTTAAAGTTGGTACAAGTGTACATCCCTTTCTAATAAAGGATTTTTTGTTATTAATCTATATATATATATATATATATTTTCTTTCTTTGAAAAAAAAAGACATTACTGCTCGTATTCTTCATCATCGAATATTCGTTCTGAAGATCTTTCAACGGAAATATGAAAGCCTAATCAATGCATAATCATCAGACGAAATCTCGAACTGAACCCCAAAAGCTAGTCAAGCTTTGGACAACAACTTAAAAACAAAATCATTCTTTCTATTAAAAAAAATTATATTGTACCATTTTCAAGCAATACTTTACAAGCTGAAGGTGTTAAAGCCGCTCGGTGTTCATTTAATTTTGTTTCCGCTCGTAACCATAAATGTACCATTTTTTTTTTTCTTTTTTCTTTATTAAAAATCGAAAATTAAAAAATTTTTTTTTTATAGTAAATTCCGAGATTAGGTTTAAATAGGAAAATTTTTTATAGATTATCATTATCTATATAATCAATTTCATTTTTTACAAATGAAAATGAAAAACAAAAAATGGATATTTCAAACGTACAATCGCGGTTCAAATTTAAAGTTACAATGAACTTCATGATGAATAGATAAATTGCCAGATTGCAGTCTTGCTTTTTTTTTAAAAAATACTGATTATAGGTTCTTTACTTCTTTTTGGTAAACCGATAACAAAATGATAAAAATTACAATAAACCACCAAATGAAGGTCATCTGGTTTCAGCCAGTGAACTTATTTAGGTTCGTCATTTTTTGATTTATTGATTTAGAACCATAGTAGCTTTGTATAAATATCCCAAAATATAGTGGTCATTAATTTCGCCATAAATAACAAATAAATAATATTTGTTTTTTTGTGATCATCTTTATAATGATTGATTGGCTAAAAGATGAAAATCCTATTAAATACCACTTCCAAAAGAGGTAGCTCGTATAATTTCATTCTGATTTCTCCTTTTCACATTAAATATGTCAGAAGAAACAAAAGTACGAGTTCAAATTTATGGTTCGAGTGTAGCTGGAAACATTTTCGTACGTATTTTCAACTGATTTATATATGCTTTTTCATTGATGATAAAAATTTACTTTTTTTATAGGTAAAGTCAAATCAATCATGGATTGAACAAGTATTAAAACAACACAAAATTGGTTTTAGTTTTGTTGATGTGGCAGCAGATGAAGATGCTTTAAAATATATGAAAAGAAAAAATATGGGTGAAAAAGAATTACCGCAAATTTTTGTTGATGGTGAATATAAAGGAGTAAAGTATTTTATTATTATTATTATTATTATTCCATCAAATAAATCAACTCTCCCATACTAATTCATTCTTTTTTTTCTTAATAAATATAGATTACTAAAGACTTTCAAGAAGCTGTAGAATTTAAAGAAGTGTATAAATTTTTAGGTTTAGAAAATAAATAATAAAAAAAAATGTTAACTAGAATATTTTTATTAAATGTAATTAATAATTTTTAAATTAAATTAAACTTTATTATCTGTTATTTATATGTACATCATAAAATAATAATATATAAATATAAATATAATGGTCCAGTTAGTAGTATTGACCATCTAATATGTATCCGGGAGGCTGTTCTTTTGTAATTGTTTTAAGACCAGGCCCAAAAGCAGGAGAAGGTGGTTTATATTTTGTAAGTTCTTGTAACATTCTACCACCAGGAATTAAAGCTTGTAAATCAGCTTTTGTTGGTACTTTTTCATATGCGACCTATAAATAATAATAAGGTAGTAAATAACCCGTATATAATAACTTAAGTATCAAATATATTAACTTACCGTATTATTATAACTAACATAACTTGTATACAAATTTTTAACTTCATTATATTCTTGAGTGGCATGTGCAGCAATGGTTGTTAATTTTGACTTTGTTAAAAGCTGAAAGGCTTCTTTTGCTTGCGTAATAAATCCTACAGCTTTTCCGTATTGTCTATAAAATATTTAGAAAAATTTGTTATTATACATTAATTAATTTACCTCAAAAAAATGTCAACTTACTGGTGTTCATTAGCATCTTGAGCAAGAAATTTCTTTCCTAGTGCCTATAAAATTATATATTCATAAATATAATTATATTATACCTTCCACAAAAAAAAAGGGAAACATACTTGATGAAATAAAGCACCATAAGAAACATATTTTCTAAAATCACCACAAACTTTTGAAGGATCTTTTAAACTTTTAATTAATCCATTTGCCATTTCGTAATGTCCTGATACTCCAAACGCTAACTTTGCAAGTAACGATGAAGTAGTTTGTTGCATTAATGCTTTACGTATTGCGATCGATGTCGAATCGGCAAGTGCAATCCTATTAAAAAAGTTTTGCTTGAGATTCCAGACTGAAATTTTGCTTCATGGATTTAGAAAATATTATTACTTGGATATCGAAGTTGGTATTTCCATTAATACATCAACTGGTTTAGATATTGAATCATTATTCCATTTTGGACAAATTTGTTCCCCAATATATGCAAATATTCCACCTGCTTTACGTAATAAATCTGCTGCCTATTTGTAAAAGAGTTATGAAATTAGGGAGAGGAAATGAAATAATTAATTGAAAATGAGTTTAATATAAAATACCTGTCTTAATCTTAAATCGATTTCATCATTTTGTAATTGTCTTTCTATGATGCCAGTAGCCCAATCAGAACAGGCATATCCGTAAGTTAATAAAATAAAAATTAATTCATAATAAATTCCTTTACATAATACACGAGATTTCTTTTTCAATACTGTATCACTTAATGTACAGCGCCATGAAGTCTCTAATTAAAAAAAAAAATTTAATATAACATTCTCGATTTAAAATAACAAAAAAATTTATCTACCTATTTCTTTTTTCAATTTTAATTGACCTCCTTCAAGACAATCAATAATGCCAAATAGATATGGTAAATAATCACCAATTGTCTGTTTGCGGAGATTCGATATTCCAAAATTAATAAGTAAAACTTAAAAAAATTATAGAAATTAATAAAATTACATTTATTATTTTAGTATAGTCTTTTGGTCCTTCGGTTCTTTTTGCTTCTTTAAGAACCTCTCTAACTCTACCCCTTTGAGCTGTTGCTTCAGATATTTCGCTTAAGTATAAATTATCTTCATCCAAAAGAAAATCTGACCAAGATATTGATCCTGTCGTTGGTAATGGATAAATAAAGCTCATGTTTAATTTCTATCACATTTTTAGGAGGCACTATTAAATCAATCTCATAAGGTCGCACAATTATGATTATGGCGCGTGATCGGGAAAAAAAATTTCCAACAGCCAGTCGTGTTTATTAACCATGCTTGGTAGAATTAACCCTTTCTCTTAAAGTTATTTTTTCTCTCGTCTTCTAAAGCAATCATACATTAAACATTGAAATATGCCACTTTTACCTCCAATAAATTTTCCAAAATGGTTAGAGGAACATAGTGATAAATTACAACCACCCGTAAATAACTTTTTATTACAGCGTGGTGATTTTATTATAATGGTAGTTGGAGGTCCAAATTCTCGCACTGATTATCATGTCAACCAAACAGAAGTAAATAAGTTTATCTTGTCCTAATTTGATGATAACAATAATTGAATACCTTTTTTTTTGTTTTTTTTGTAGGAGTGGTTTTATCAATATAAAGGAGAAATGTGTTTAAAAATTGTTGACGATGGTGAATTTAAAGATATTCCTATTCGAGAGGGCGAAATGTTTTTATTACCTGGTAAATTTAAGAGCGTTTGCTAATTCATCATTGTTTCATGATTAACCTATATTTAATATTAATTCCCTCAAAGCCAATACACCACATAATCCTGTTCGATTTGCTAATACGGTTGGTATAGTGATTGAAAGAAACCGAAGATCAGAAGAAATTGGTAAATTTATTTAACATCAAATTTTTTTTTGTGTACATTCCTAAAATTATTTTACTTGTATTATGAATATAGATCGACTTCGATGGTATTGTGAACAATGTAAAGAAATAGTTTATGAAGAATCATTTCATTGTACAGATTTAGGTACACAGCTTAAGCCTATTATTCAAAAGTATGCAATGACTGAAGATTTGAGAAAATGTAAATTGTGTGGAAATATTAATAGTGCTAAATAAATAACTAAATGACTGAATAACCGGATAATTAGAAGAATTTATAGATTGAATATTGATTGATAAATTATATCAATAATTTAATACAACAACCCGAGTTAAACCATCTTTAATGAGAATAAGTTGATTCGTTCACAAAAGCCAAGTAAATGATACTTATCTGTTATTACGCAAATAACGAAATATTTTGAAAGAGAAACTGAGCATTAGATATAAATAGCATGGTTATTAGCGGAAAACAAACGCATTTGGATCTATATAATGGTCGTCAGACATACTGTAGTTAACAATTTAGATATTTAATATAAATTTTAATATTTCAGTCAGTAATTCGGACATCGACGTGATCTACATTATTTAAATTAATTTTTACATATTATTATTATTAAATTATTAGTCATTAATTAATGGTCCATGATATGGTATTTGAAATTATCTAAATTATCTATTATATTGTGAATTTACTATAAATGTCATATATAATCTATATAATCATCTTTCTTGGAGAAAAATTGATCCCGTTCTCCAGGGAAAGAATTACCTTCACGGCCATTATCAATTTTAAGAATCCTTCCACAGTTCTCGGAACTTCTATATCTTGCAAGTCCATGATGATGGTGTTTTCGAATAAATATTTTGATACGGAGCTCGAGAGGCGAAACCCGTTTGACTGAATACTGTAGGTCGCAATTTTTGTGATATAATCTTTTGCTTCGGAAGGTAACGCGAAAACAAGGTTGTAATGATCACCTTCGAACAGTATTCCAATTTTTGAGGTCGCCTTTTCTCTTACTACGAGTGTTAAGAACACCGTCTTCCTGAACAAGATGGTTAGCGCTCTGCGTACACCGTATATAGCGCAAATTTGCGCTATACGCGCAAAAATTCCCCCATACGCGCAAATTTAGCTCCATACGCGCAAAAATTTCCCTATATGCGCAAAATTTACTATACGTGTATATTTTTACAAAAATTTTCCAATATCATCCTATATCAAATGCAACAGTGGAGAGAATTTTTTCGCATCAAATATTTAATGATTTTAATTAATGGTCTGGTCCTGATATAGAAGATTTTGACTTTGAAAAAGCATACGATAATTGGATTAATTTAAAGGAAAGGCGGATGAAAAATGTAGTAAATTCTCAAGAGCCAAGAGTGCAATTAATTTTTATTAATGAATTGTAAATAAACATTTTTAGTGGGCAGGACATGTAAATTTTTATATTTTAGTAATAAATAAACTTTTTTTGCGCGCTTATTATAATTTTGCTTTTATATATAAAGAGCAGATAAAAATTTTACAGAATTCTTAAAGATCCTTAAATTTTTAAAGATCCTTAAAGGATTCTATAACCAATTTAAGGATCTTTAAGGATTCTTTTCATTTATAAAAAAATCTTAAGAATCCTGATTTCCAAAAATATTACTAATATACCTAGATAATTACTCCAACTGAAAATTAAATTTTACCAGCTAAAATATTAACTTTGAAGAATTTTATTGCCAGCCAGAATTAAAGTTTAATTATTATTTTTTTTTTTTTTTATATGGAAAAGAGACTTTAAATTGAAGCCGCACATTAATAATTTTGGCCAAATGAAATATTTATTAAATCAAGCTAAAATTATAACTTTTAGCTAGACTGGATAACAGTTGCATATATTGTTTTCTAGTTATAGGACCCCAGACATTATCACATTTTAGTTTTAGCAAATTCAATAGAGCAAATTGGTACTTTTTTTAATAATATTTACAGTAAAATTCGAAATATAGTGGACACTTGGAAATTTTTATTGTCGGGTACTCGGGTTACTTGGCTAGTCGGGTTATTAGAAAAGAAAATAACACGGTGTACTTTAATTAAATTTTAATATTTACGTTATATAGTTTATTATACTATACTACGCCATCATATATATGTATATCTTTTCTAATAACCTGACTAGCCAATAAAATTTTCAAGTGTCCACTATATTTTGAATTAGTTTTGCTGTAATAATATAAATTATATAATTAAATATTATAGTGCAGAACCTCTATACTCAACTACTTATGTATAGTAACAATTGATTGATTATAAATTTCTAAAAAAAAATTTTTTATATTAAAGTAAAAAATTTAAATGATAATTTTTATAGATATGATTATTAGCTTTAAAAATTATCGGTTATTTTTTTTCTAAATTAAATTTTGGCTAAGTTTTAGCTGTTTAAAAATCTGTAATTTAAATATACTGACAAAATTTAGTTAAAATTGAGACTAGTCTAATTTTTGCTTTACA